GGGGTTCCTCAGGGTTCTATATTAGGTCCACTCTTATATATAATATATGTAAATGATTTTTATAGTGATCAGTTCGTTATGTATGCTGATGACACATATTTATTGATAACTCAGGAAAATATTAAAGCCACAGTTAATAAAGCATTCGATGAAATAAAAAAAACTCAAAAGTGGGTCTCATACAATGGTCGATCTCTTGTTAAATGAAAGAAAAACTGTGCTTTTACGTTTTAATCATTCGAAAACCACTCCAGATCATGGTTTACTAGTAACGTCAATTAATGGATCAATGCAACAACAAGAGGAGACAAAATTTTTGGGCTTGAAAATAACAGAAAATCTCATATGGAACAAGCATATTGATAATATTTGTAAAAAGATATCCTCAGTATATTATTGTATTCAACAACTACGCTGGAATGTAAATAGATCACTCTTATTAATGTATTACCAGGCATACTTTCACTGTAACATTTTCTATGGTATTATAGCTTGGGGAGCATCTAGTGATTGTTCCAGAATACTCAAAATTCAAAAAAGAACCATAAAGTGTATAGCAGAATATTAATTGTTACAAGTATATACATTTATGAGATATTAAAATATGTTAAATCACACATAACCAGCTCTCCTACTCTTAATGGTAATAAGAATTATAATACTAGAAATTCCCTACAGTTGGAAGTGTCAACACACAGATTAGTTGTATCTGAATCATGTCCCAGGCTTAAGGCCATTAAATTGTACAATAAACTTCCAAGTACAATAAAAATCTGGCTTTAAAACAGTATAACTATTAAATCAAAGAGTTATGGATGTTAACTTATGACCCTGTACATGTGTAACATTTTAGGAAGATTTTAATAACGATGCTGTTACATAAATAACAGATAATTTTTGTTTTTGACTATTATACACTACGTATATGTCCAANTTTTTGACTTCGGGATCATTTTTTTCTATGTCGACTACACCTCCTGGTATACCTCTGCGTACTCTTTTATCATTACATGTACTTTTGATCAAGATGGGATTTGACATATCATCTTCGGTGTGAACCATAAGAGAGCACACTTTGACCAGTGGAGTTTTTTCCATTTTCACGCGCATCGAATAATATAAGCCGTCTATTTTCACCTTGTCCACACGAACTATTTTTGTTTTCACGTTGTCCCATCCTGACTTTCCAGCAGCTTTCTTGGCGAATTTTTTCAACAGTTTGAATTCATCCTACAACAAGTACTCAATCATTTAAAATAGTTTTAGCATGAATCATCTGCCACAAACTCGAAAACTTTCTTGAGCGAGCTGTAGAAAAGGGGTGAATCTTTTCTATCAATGCGGTCTAAAGCAAGTGGTGCACAAGTTATCGATAAATGTCTCGAATATCAGTTAAAAAATCTGTTTTTCCGTTAACCAGCTGACGACCCCTCACGAACGACAACCCTCATAAGTAGAAACTTCTACAAGCTAAGAATTAACGGGGTCTTGCCTTTAACTGTGCGATCTCTAGCACGTATTATCAATAATTTCAATAGTTCACTCATTTCGTTTGTTCTTCGATAGATTTCAATTGAATTAACACGTATTTTAGACATATATTTATAGAGGAAAGTTATAACTGAATCGATGACATTTGGAATGTTGATCTGAGTCGCTACTGAATGGAATTTGATTATCTTTATTTAGATAGTTTCAACATTATTTGTTTATAGAGTCTGCACTTTTGTGTTGTTTGGTCTATTGAAATTTTCATGATACTTCAACTGTATTTTAACATGTACGAGTAACCATATCCTTGAAGTGTGCAAAAGCTTTATGCATAGAAGTACAAATAAATGAATATTGTGGATTTATTNTTTGTCTCGGGTATTATTTGAGACTCAAGATCTGCAAGAAACTCATCATTTATTTCCTGCTGGTTGTTTTTATTAGGTTGATGCTCGGGCTCCTTAACGAGAAACTCTTGCGACACAGTACAGTTATTTTTGACGATATTTTTTGCTAAGCTTCTCCAAGGTTGCTCAAAGTATTCTACTTCACAAATGTAAGTTCCGTTGGTCAAGTCTAACGGGCAAGATGGGTTAGTTGAATCTTTAGAGCAAGTTGTGGGGGCTATTTCCAGTAACAAAAGGTATTTGATTCCAGCGACGACCTAAGAAAAACAGATTGGGGCCAAGTTCAAAGAATATTAACTTTTAGGGCTGCATATAACTGTGTCGCAATTATTTTACGGTTTGCTGACCATGATCCGAAGGTTTTTACGGCCGAAGTTTCGTCTACAACTGCGGTAGATATTAACAAAACAGAGGGAATAACGGACGCAGTGTTCGTTGGTGGGTGTGAATGTACATATAAGATCTCTCATATCATTCTTATGTTACATTATACATGTTTTTTTCTCAGCAACACTTTTTTTAATAACTGTCCGTACTAGGATGTTTCTATTTGAAATTAATAAATGACTCATACAGACCATGGTCAACAAACCCGGTAAATAGCTTAAATAGGAGTTAACCAACTGTTCATTATGGAGAAAACAAAGTAAAAATTAATCAACGTCTAATACATTTATTTATTACTAGTATGATAAATTTCATTGTCAATGATACAGGAATGAACATAAAAAGTCAACAGTACAACATAGTACTTTTCTGAATATAGAAAATTTCATACCTGTTGCTGGAGCCTCAGAACTCTAACAAGCGCATGTTTTTCATTGCGTTCACTTTCGACATGCTTGAGAGCTGTGTCAACAAGGGTAGTTACACCTTCTGCGTCAAGATTCAGGTCAAACGGGCAGCCCAAACATGGTACATCGGCCGGCCTAACTAATTCAGGGGTAACCTCAAACTGAAACATTTTTTATTTCGTTCGGCAAAAAATCGTATAACGATATTGAACCTCACTTCACTTAGCGAGGCAAACTAACTTGTATCAAATGTTTAACCTACTGAGGAGACACTTCATAAAAAAGTTTGCTAATTAACTGCTTTTCTAGATATGAAACGATATTTTATTTTTTTCAGAACTTACCTCAACATTATTGTTATTTTGGGTGATGGATGTTTCATCAATTCCCGCCTTTTTTTCTTTGGGAACGCATGATGTGCCGATAACTTGTAATCTGGAACTATTTGGATCTACCTTCAACGAACTGTGGCATCTCAGAGTTTTGTCATTACAAGACCCTTCAGAAGATGTCTTACATGTGGCTTCAACGTCTGTGTCAACTTCAACAGTTTCTTCCTGAAATTAGAAGAGTGATTCATAGTGTCAAATGCTACTATATCAAATACATTTCAATAAAAATTATTTTCAAAAAATTCCAAATAAACAAATTCTGATACTGTTAACTCTCAACAAAATTTCTAGTATGGAAATGCCAACCCAATATATCGTCTGTATCACTTATATACCTTATACCTAAGTATCAATTTCCTTTCAAATCTCAACATTATTTCAGAAATTATTCGAAACAAATATCAAAATTAATTTTCACCACCCTGAAAAACAAAAGCCTTGCGAATCCAAGCTTATATTTTAAAAATTCTTGGGGAATAGTTATTAATATGATTCCTTTTGATTTAAATACAATGTATTCAATAACATTGTACAATGTATATTCCATATTTTGATTCACTGATTGATTAAATAATACCTGATAAGCCGGGTCAAAAATATTTTAAATTTAGTTTCTAAGTAGTAGTGAATGATAACCCAAACTGACTTATATTATTTGCGTACTTAACCTTATCTAACGTTTTTCAATATTGAAGCGATTGAGTACATAATGATATTATTGAAAATAACAAATTTTGAAATGTGCAAACAAGTAAGAAAATAAGTAACTGATTTTGATTATCAAAGAATATAAACTTTCACAGCCGAAGAAAGCTATTTTCCGGGATTTGGCAGTGTTCTGCAGATTTTTATGCCTGACGTTTCGTCTACTACTGCGATAGATATTATAACAGTCGCAGTGCTCGAGTTGTTGTTCCCGTTCCGTGGCATAAAAACCTACCGACCATGGCCAAAAAACCCGGAAGATAGCTTTCACACTGATTTTGATTATATTTATATATTCAATTATACAGTGTCATCCCCAAAGTATGCACCGTATGGGAAACTTATTTATTAAGGGTTTTTCGACAAAAAGTTATTTCTGATAAAAGTTTGTGCATCCCCTAAAACTAAATATGCACCAACAAAATACAATAAATCACACGTAATATACGTGGAGCCTTCAAATATTTGATTTTGAGACAGAAGTAAAGTACTCTTATTTTGAAAAATTTGCTCTGAGGAATGATTGATTTTCTACAGCCCCCTACGACTCTAAAGATTGTTTCTCCACAGCCCCGTACGACTGTGAGGAATATATCTGATAGACCAAAGCTTCGGAAAGGATACACCGAAATATGTACCGTGGGGTCCAATAAAATCATTGATAGGTCACCATAAGTATCAGTATCTTCTTCAATTTTTGAAATAAATAAATAATTTATCCATTTATAGTGAATTATTATATTTTATGTATCAGTTTAGGCCCATTCTGAAATCAATTCTAGTTGTTTTCAACAATGACTCACGCTAGAGCAAAATGTATATTTTAGTGATAAAAGATGCAAAAAGGTTGAATATTTTGGCAACTCCTGTAATTTAATTTTCGAAATTTGATACCAACCTTCTGCCTCACATCAATCAGTCTGGCTTCTTTGTAGACATAATCACTAGGTTGATCATTTAAGTAGTCAAGTATTACAGATATTTGTTCATTTTTGTAGGATTCTTCACTAGCTGCTAATACAAAAGCCAAAAGCAGTAAAAACTGCTTTGGTAGCAACATATTTGCCACCAGAAGTCTGTAGCGTATCTCGAAAAACTGGTAGTTTAGTTTGAGTTCATCAGTATATCACTAATAATTTATGCTGAAAAACATTGGTCTCCCGACCTCTCTTATCTCTGAAACCAAAACAATAAACAGATTTACTAAAGCTGGCATCTACAGTATACTTGGCTATGTGACAAAGTCACTGATGATTCAATAGTATCATTTTAATGATTTACCGCAGTCATAAGATATTTTTGTTGTCAGTAAATATAAATAAACAACATATGATTCATTTATAGTTTCTGACACTGGTATTCTGTGATGCCAGTGTGAGTTGTGACGTGTTGTGTCAAAGTCAAATTAAAAAAAATGTGATTTGCGTGCTGTATCTCTGTTCGAACTAGACCGGTTCTGGTTGGCTATTCTACGACAGCAATAGAAGGATGAGGTTCAGAAATTACTTTTATGAAAAGGCCATACGTTTCCCTATGGTCATTATCTACATTTTCGACAAGCATATCATCAAAAACAAATATCTTTTCCCCACTATATTCCTATGACTCCGTAGGAACCATAACAAAAAAACGCAGCTGCATAGTCTATCGTAATTCTATTCAATCTACGATTGATTTACGAAAGTTGGGCGATTTGAAACAACAAACTGAAGACCAAAGCACACCTACTAATTACAGTCAGATAATGAACAATCAATTGCATACCAAAAATGTTATCGTTTGAATCATCTCAATCCACAATTCACTATAATTTCTGACATTAGTAATAGAAATACCTATGGACTTTCATTAAGACTAACCGTTGTTGAATGGTCACATTACTGTTAATAACCGAGTTAAATACGATTTTTGAGCAATGAGAAATATACAATCGAAAAATTCCCATTTGGCTCTGGTCCACAAACAGACTGACCAACGAACTAACTCAGCCGAGTATTCTGACATCTCGTGTACAAATTTCCTACTTACTTACTACTTTTTGACACCAAACCAACGTTGTGATATATCACCAAGAGATGGAACATGTATGATTTTCAGATGAATGTCAATTTCAAATACTTATCACTGATTGAACAGAAACCAAGGGAATTTGATTATTTAAATTAACAGTAAGACGTTGTCTAGGTTGCTTACGTAACGTCAGTTGTTTTATACTTTTTTGCATTTTCATTTTTGCCCTTCGCTTCATAAATTTTTTGTGTCTTTTCCATTTTCATTCGCGAAGTGAAATACTAAATTATGGGTAATTCATAATCAGTGAGGTGAGTGACATTGAGAAACATAGGTACATAGTTATATTGGTTTTAGGTGATACTTTTCTTATTTTTTCGCTTGAATTATTCACGAACGTCAGATTGTCATAACTGTCACATCGGTATTTATATTTTAGGAGTCAATATAAATGTAGGGTGATGTGTCAGATTAAAAAAGATCGATATTTTTTTTCAATATTGAAATTGGAAAATAATGAAAGTTGGACCTCAAAATAAAACAACGCTATTTAGAGATCTGAAACGAAGTACACTATTTTTCAATTCGAAATTACTACTAAATGAACTGTAAACCAAGAATCATGAAACAAGCCCATTATAGTTGACCCTCTTTTATGGCTTGGTGTAAAACCTAGATGTCGCCCATTCCGTGGTCCCCCCACATAATTTAAATAATTTTTTAATTTACAAATATCATTCTATCATAGAACGTGTTTCTTGTGTACTGTCATTAATTTCATGGGGTTGTTCTAATATATTTCATGAGGAAAAGTTACAGTTAATACAAGTTTAGAAATATTAAGTGTTGAAAATCAGAGTATCATTATTTCAGAGATGTCGAATGTTACGAAGTTACAATTGAGTGTTTGGAAGCAAAATCAAAAAATTTCAATCAAAGATAATTTTTTTCAGAATATTGTTGTTCTTTCAGCGCTTCATTATTACACCCCATAAGCAGCTCGAGGGTGAACAGCTTCTAACTCTCAACAGTTCTCCATGCACAATGATTCTCATCTAGTGGAATTAACACGTGGCTCTACCGCTTCGAAAAGGGGGAATTAACCTGTGTACATGTATATATAGGGTTGTTTTATAAATGTTTTCTTTCATCCGGGGATATATCTGTAACTTTGTAATCAAGTGCAATCATTGTTTTTCAATACTTCCATAAATATATACTATAGAATGTATTAAAACTGCAAGAGAATGTCTGTGTTTCAAAAATCAGTGATTTTGAAATCCTCATTGTTAAATATAACTGCTGATAAGTTGATTAATCAAACTACCACAAAAATTTGAATTATAATAAATGCATTTATTGTTTAATAACACTCAAAACTCAACTATTTTATTGTATGCAGTTTATTAGACAACTTCTATAATTGCCTATTTTATCGGTTATCTGACTCATCTTTTACGTTTCAATCATTCAAGNTGCAAATCATTTGTCTATTTTTTGACATTCACAATTATCTGATAACTCCAAACGATTTTAACAGATGGCGATATCTGTTGATTGGATCTGTTGTCTTTTGAACTTGACATGTATAAGTAATTTTTCATAGAGAAGGTTTTTAGGCTATCAGTTTTTCTGTAACTCGCCACTAGATGGCGCTGTAGAACAATTTTTTTGAAAGCATTGTTCTATAACGCTGCGCACGCCTAAGTTCGTTGATTTTGATTCTGTCAAAACATTGGAACAGCAATATAGTACTAATTAGTACTACAACTACCAAATTCTCCGCAGGCGAAGCCGCGGGCAACAACTAGTAACAAATAAGAAAAACATTCGGCCGCTACTCGCTATCAGCTGATTATGAAATACAATTTCGTCAAAATTCGTATGGTTTGAATGTCCATTTTGAAGTGAGCGATTTATGAAAATCTTGAACATGAATTTAAACGAAATGTCAAATTCAGTCAAAGTAAGAGAGATAATTTTTCCCATCTACCCAGTTCGCCATATAACCCGTTAAAAAAGAAAAACTCTTGAGAGCATCTGATGACGAAATCTCAATATTGAAACCTTCATCATTCACAATCCATCATCTACAAAATTGATTACGAACTTAAAATAACAAAATTATTCTGCAATGCATACCAACTCGGTTCATTTTGCGGCAATCTTAATTCATTTCTAAATCCTGTAAAATCGTCAGGAGTTCAGATCCCCTTCTCTTCATGCTCCGTGACCATGAAAGAGCAGGAATTGGAGCATTTCTCTTTAGGGCAGCTGCCCGAGCAGCTTAATTTTCGACACTGAACACTCATATAAAAGCTGCAGAGATCACCTCACTTCTGCGGAAACACAAGGATAAGCCAATGCATGGGGTCTCCTTCAATAACACGCCTGACACCTGACGTTCGATTTTCTCAGGTCGAGTGTGCTGAAGTCGTAAATTGAGAGGTTCATCATGGTTTGCCAGGATGGTGTCTTCAACACCTTAGTCTACCGCAGTTGCGTGATGGGTATAGAGGTTCCAGACACAAGGTGCAGGGCCTGCCTCGAGGCGCACGAGACCCTAATGCACTTGCTATCAGCATGTTCAGCATATGCGGTCTCAGCCTATATCTATCGACATAACGTGGTCCTAAAAGTGCTATATTGTCATCTACGACACTCTTACGGTATTGACAAGACACCGGTGTTGCCCTACGCTCCGGGGGATATTGAATCCGTTGAGGGGAACGAGAAGTGCCGAATATTCTGGAACCATTCGTTCCACACCCTCAAGCTCATACAAGCTAGCAAGCTTGATGTAGTCCTTCTCGACCACCAGAGCGATATTTGTCGTTGAGTTTTCAACTCCTGGCGAGACGAATATCGTCCGAAAAGATGAAGAGAAACGGATAAAATATCGAGATTTGCTCTTCGAACTCTGCAGAGTTCTCTATCCAGACCACTCCATCAAAATGGTTGTTCTGATTATTGGAGTCCTTGGTGGAATGATGCCCTCTCTACTCTCGAATTTTAAAATCATACAGGCTTGCCGCACTTAGGCAGAAATCTTAGCTGGACAGATGTAGAAGGCTGTCATTCTTGGCTCAGTGCGCTTGCCCAGGGCACATGATTCCTCGTTCCGAGAATCATGTGCCCTGAGCACATGACCACTTACACCACGGTGTGGGGAGTGGTCGTTGGTTGATAATGCTGGCACGCCCTCCCGAATGTATCGGGGCTTTGGAGGATAGGGCCTGACCAGCGCATACTTCGGTTGAAAAATAAATATGTAATAATAAATGTTTTTATTGAAAGGTTACTCAGTACAAGACATACTAACCTAACCTAACAAATGACAGAATTCAACATCTGTTGATAGATCAAGGCAGATATTGTTCTTTCATCCAACCAGCTTGTTTTTCTATAGATTGTATTGAGCAAAAAAGGCCGAAAATTTGCCATTTTCGTAATTTGGAATGGCTGTAATTCTGAAAATTAGGAAGAGCACTGATTTTTTTTTAATTTTCCCAACCTGATAAGTCTTACCACTTCCGGAATAATAATTGTGGGTCTGAATACTTTCAATATTTCTCAACCCGGTCCTGTCTAATAAAACACGTGCCTTTATGTAAGAGCCCCCTTTGTTCTGTTGGGTTTTTACGTTTCCTGCAACTCCAGACTTGCAACATGCCCACTATCCACCCTAAGCAACTTCTTCGCATTAACGGCCAAATATTTACTCTGACGTTTTGTGATATTTCCAGAACAACAATAAGCAAATCGGCGAAGAGAAGATAAGACTCGAATTTGATATATCCGTTACGAAGGTCGCCGATAGAAGAGTGGGGAACAAGACAACACAACAGCAACGAGCAAATCGAATTATGAAACCACTTCCGAATCGACGACACAGCGCCTAGAATCGTCGATGAGAATTTTCAAAAGCTGCTGCGACAGTGTGCGATCAGTGCGCGCAGTGATAACAACGCTGAAAATCGCAACAGCCGCGCATCAGAGTGCAAACGGTGTTGTGTGCCAGTGCGAGTGAATACTCTACTCTCTCTTTTCGCTCCGCGCGCTAATGGACAGTTGAATAACGACGTCGGACGATATACCAACATGGCCGCTGATTCGGGAATGGAAACCTGTCCCTCGCCTGAGGCAGCCGACTCTAGGAAAAGACCGCTCGACGGCGAGGCGGAGAACGGGGACAACAAACGCTCTCACTTCAGCTCAGGTGAGTCACAGCCGTCGTATTTTGCTTCTCGCAGTTTTTTGTTTTTTTTCCTTACCGTCGCTTTTAGCTTGTGTGTGCGTTAGGCTGGCAAGTGGTGACGTTCGACTGTCACCGGTTCAATGTCAGATCCAGCGTGATTGACTATTAACCCAGTGAAGCAACTGGCTAACGAGATCGAAGTAGGCCTAGGATGACTTTCCTCTTTCGACGCACGAAAGTGACAGCAGCGGCGGTGGGTGTACACACAGAAGCGATCAGCTGTTTGCGCTCCGATTTCGCCAACTAGGATGATTGCTTATTTCCTTCGTCCTTTGTCGAGGAAACGGCTAGTTGTCTCGAACGTTCAGCTTTAATCAGAGTCACTTATGAATGTCGTTGTCTCTTACGTAATGTCGCCTGATTTTTCGAAATGTTTATGGCTTGGAATCTACTTGACCTATTTGTTTTGTCGAATTTATCCGTACCTTCTCTGCTTCATTGATCATTTCGACGGTGACGTCAATGGGACGGCATTGCCACATCGATTTTTTTTAAGGTAGAAAGTGGTGTTTTGTCCGGATTTCCTCATCGGCTGTGTAGCGTTTTCCTTTGTTTGTGTGTCTACGCTTATGTCATTAGTTGATGACATTTTGAAGTTGGGCAGTAATTACCGAAATATTTCGATGGATGTCTGTTTGTTTCCCAACATTAATTGTTTTGTGTTTGTTCCGACTCTACCAATTACTCAAATCACTCAACAAGTTTAAAGGTTGTTAATAATGAATCATTTTTATAAAATTGCTGCAATTAAAGCTACGTAATAAGTGATACGTATAGTTGCAAAGTAATTTTCATTAAATTGATCAATTTGCTGCTAGCGAAAAATGTCTAGAGTTTTCTAAACATTAAGAATCTTTTTTATTTACCCGTACTCGTTATAAATTCGTTGAGAGCCAGAAATTTGGAACAAAAAAACCTTATAAAAGCTTGAATTTACCAAAATTCAATAGATGTTCAGAGGACCTTCATATCATATATTGCAGATATACGACTTCTTATTTAGATCCAAAGAATAACATTAGAAGATTCCACCTTCTTCGCTTACCAATACGTATATCCATTAAATATACTTTGAAGATATTCAAGAGATATCCATAAGATATACTTCGAGAAGATTCATGGGGTATCCATAAGATATCTTTTGCAAATATCTCGTAAACAAACAACATTTTCAGGCCTACTTAGTGCAATAACTTAAGCTCTTGATTAACACTATCTTATTTTCATCTCAATAATTAGAATAATGTTGAAGTTCGGATGAGAAACTCACATGAATCAAATGAATCTTGTAGAAAAAGTATCTTAAGCAGAATATCTTTCAAAGATCTTCGTCCAAATCCGCTGAATATTACCTTTCATATCCAGACATGTTCCTCGTTTCAAGGTTCTGGTTTCATTTAGTTGCTTTGCAGTGAGTGACTCGTCGAATGTCGGTGGGAGGTCGATGTCGAAGCTTGGTGTGCACCAAGCCGCCTTGGGGAGCCTTTTTGTCATCGATATTCGTAGAGTCTATCAATACATTCGTGGTTCGGTCTAGTATCACTGATAAAATCTAAGGCGGGCCGAAACAACGTTGTCAGATGTTTAGTCATGAGTGTTTTGTTTTTGTGCTTTGGTTTCATCTTCAATTATTCTTAACTGATCATCAATTGAATGCCTACAGAATATACATGTATGTTGTCTGGAAGACATGAATTTCGTGATAAGGTCTACAAAGTAGGTAACAAAACACCAATATACCTAAGGTTCCTTACTGGGTTGATCATAGATATCAGAAGCTTTAACAATTATGTTTCTGATACTATCAAGCAATAATACCAAGGTACTGTTCTGCGACGTATATTACTCATAATTACGTCAGTAGCATACTGATGTAGCTAAATCATTTAGTATAGTTCACACTATTATATTTATTCCTATGACAAATCAATGTCTCCAAGTTTCTGTTCTGGAGCCTATATTACTCACGATTTAAAAGTTAACAAACCACCAATATGCCCCAGGTACCTTAATGAGGTGATAATAAACATCAGAAGTCTTAACAATTATGTTTCTGATACTATCTAGCAATACCAATATTGGTGTCCCAAGGTTCTGTTCTGCGACCTATATTACTCACGATTTACGTCAGTGGCATACTAATGTAGCTAAATCACTTAGTACTTGTATAGCTTACACTGTTATATTTACTTATATGTCAAATTAATGTCTGCAAGGTTTTGTTCTGGGGCCTACGTCACTTACGATTTACGTTAATGGCATAATTATTGTGTAGCTAAATTAGCTTAGCTCAGAATATAAATTTTCTCATAAGACAAATTGAGTTAAACAGATTCAAATTATATGTAGAATTGACTTACGTAGCGATCTACCTTTGCAACTTAGCTCTGAGATTCGTAGAAGAGAGAATGAAAGACTCACTGTGTTAAAAAGGGATATCCCTAAATGTACACTCAATATAACAAGTTATTAATTATGAATTTTCTCTTGGGGGCTGGAACTCAATTGGCCATAGCTAGAGTGGTAGATCTGTTATGGTAACGGCTAATAACGAAAAAAGCATTTTTAACGCAACAACAGAATTTATCAAAAAACTAAATGAGTCTGTAGTTTGCCTAAATTGCATGTGCGTGTTGATGTAATTAGATTTTAATGGAATCGCGATAAAAAGTACGAAATAATGCCCAACTGTCAGAATAGTCCCACAAAGATTTGATAGCCAATCGCTGAAATATGTAGCTTGATTCAAGTCCCTTTATTTAAAATTTGCCTAGATTCATGACGGTTATCTGGGGTACAAAATTATCAGCGTAAGCCCGTATCAAAATAAATCTTAAATCAAATAACCCCCAAAGTAAGTAGGTAAACTGACTTTCGTTTATTTTTAACATTGAATGGATTTCCAGATTGTTCAACTTGAAGTTGAAATAGAAATAATTATACATAATGAGAAATAACTAGATAAAGAATAGTTAATAGGTTGGGAGCTTGTCGTTTTGAAATGATAACCTTTTAAGGTGGGGGACAGAGGGTTACCACTACATATGTTCAAGAATTTTTTTACATTTTATTAAATTTATTTCATATAAGTTTTTATTGACGTCCTAAAGAACTTTCATTAATATTGATGGATTGCAAAGTATAAAGTATCGTCATTGTTATTAATATTCACCAAAAAATGAGATCTGGAATATATTTTCCATGTGGAGATGGATCTGAATTTGACTTAGATGTTTCTGATATCAGTTTGATGATCATTTTGGAGATGGAGTTTCGAATAATTCGAGATCCTTCCTCCGAAAATGAGATCTGCTTTTAAACTAAAAAATTTTGTACCACTTTTCTATGTTGTGAAAATCATGTTAATATAAACCTATCGAAGTGGCAACGCTGTTGACGGAAATCGAAATCATGTCGCCTTTAACGAATGATGAAATTGATTCGATACGGTTTCGCTACTGGAATTCAATGCTTGGCAATTTTTGAGAACCACTCGATCGAGTGGAATGTATTACTTCTGTTGTCAGACATCGCTAAACTCGCGAAGGTTTCTAAGAAATATTGACCATTTGACGTTGACAGTTGAACGTCAGATTGCCGGAGTGAGAGATAGGATTCGAAATCCAGGTTGCGAAACTTTTTTTTATTTCAGAAAGCAGAGGAAAAATTGTAATTTTACGACTTTTTGAATTATCGAATTCAATTGTTGAGCAGTGTATTATATAAAAACCTTTTAATTTCGACCGGTATTGGAAGTCACTATTAAGCATAGTCCATAAAGTTTAAAATATGTCAAAAAATGAAGGTCGCAAAGCGGGAGAAAGGTGATTTCCACATCATAAACTGAAAAATATTGGCAATTGATAATAGGGAGCTCAAGAAATACTCCACCCTGTTGATTAATTTTCTTTAGAATATTTCTACAGTCCATTAAAGGTAGCAATGACAAAGATAAAATAGTTTTTGGAAATCTGTTCATTAATCATTATCACCATATCTACCTATATCTATAACTAGATAACGAGGTATATTTCTAGAAGTAAAATGATTCACTACTTAAGTTCTTCAATCTTTGGGAATTGTTTCATTAGTAGATACACTAGCATCAAAATAAAAACTAGAATCGACAGTAACTATTTGCACATACTATATAACAATGATGCTATTATTGATAATACGTGCGGTTTTTGTTCTTGGCTCACTGTGTCTGCTTGCGTCACTTTTTGGTATGTTTTTATTTCCTCAATCGTCGAAAATCGTCGTCTTTTCATGGGTCTCTTTGAAACAGGAAAAATTTGCAGGGGACCAAATCTGGTGAATATGGTGGCTGAGGTACGATTGCGGTGTTGTTATTGGCCACGTGGGATGATCTCCCGATGATCTACACCACGGTAATTGAAGAAAACAGTGAGAAAAACTTTGACATTTGATCGAACTTGGCGTGCTTTTTTTGGTCTTGGCTCTCTTGAGCTCTTCGATTGGGACGATTGGACTTTGGTTTCGATGTCATAATTCAGCAATTTTGGAATGAACTTCGCTGCCACACGTTTCATGCCCAAAATTTCCGAAAAAATTGCATAGCATGCGCCAATCGATATGTCTACATCCTCAGTAACTTCTCTAATAACAATTTTCTTCACTTTCTCAACGTTTTCATTGGTCAGAGTACAATCATCGTATGCTCCTGTCAACATTTCAAGTGTTTTTTAGCAATTTATTTCCATTTTTCGCCTTCAACTTTACAATCATCTGTTCCCAGAATTGTGTTGACCTATAAACTCTCACGATTTTTATTTTAGTGAAAGTGAAGATTACCAAATCACACATGATCTATCTGTTATTTCCAGAAGACCTTGCATTTGATAGTGGTAGTTATGCACAGATTTTAGAGATGAATTATCTTTCAAAAACTCAAATTTATGGAAATAAGAGTCAACATTTCGCGAGTTATAGGGGCACTT